CCAAACATCAAACGTTTTCGAGGCGATTTAAATGAGTTCGCATTTTGATAGAAAATTTCTCAGCTGAGTGTGATTTGAATTTTTAATTGGTCCAACCGAAGGAGGTATTTATTTTCGTGATGGCAAAGTGAACCACAAAGGCGGCAAAAATGCTCAACATTAAAATCGAATAAAACCTGGTAGAAATTGTTAAAATTCCGAAACGGTAGCTCGATCCAAGCCATAAAACGCACCCCAAGCCAACACTCCCCCGAAATCCCCCTTTCCCCTCTGAACACGTAGCTCCTCTCCTCCAAATCCCCGCAAAGTGGGCACGTCCCCAAAATGGAGTCACGCATGCGCAAGGGACTACTATTATAACTATCTCCAGAGATGGCCTCGTGATAAGAAGAAAGCCTCAGCTGAGTTCAGACCATCTAATAAATAAGTATGGACTTTAAAAATACACAAACATTAGTTATGGTTTTCGACTACGTCTTAATAAAAGAAATAAATAAAAAGATCATCTTCTAATTTAAAATTATAGTATCAACATTATTACAATTATTATCTAACAATGATAGCAATACCCTATATTTAAGATTGATAGGGCTCTCAAACTATTTTTTTTATTAATATTTTAATTATATTATTTATTTATGTTATTATTATTTTAATTAATATTTAATTTTGAATGTAACATTTGGTAAACCTTTTAAATTTTATTTTTTATCACACAACATCATACTCACATTTTAAAATTTATATCTGTTTAATACATATTTAAATAATACAATACCATTTGGTAATAAAGACATAATATGAATGATTAATATTAAAGATATTTTGGAGTTGACATGTAAATAAAAATAGCGTATAACATTTTATCTTAAAATAAACCAGTATTATAGATTTGTTACCTTATTGCTCACGATTCTCGCTCACCTCTAGACACAAAAAAAAAAAAACTCACATTACCATATATCGTTGGCCGAATTTTCTGTGGAAATTGAAATTAGGGGCTGGACTGCCATAATTTTTTATGAGCGGCAATGAGACAAGTGTGAAAAGCGCGAGCGGCCAGAACAAACGGCGGGCGAATCCTTTTGCCAGGACACGCAATCGGTAATTAAAAGGGGAAGCGGAGAGGAACGTGCCTGAGGCTCAAAAAAATTATTTTGGCCCTGTGAGTGGCCAATAATTATGCCGAAGATCGCCGAGCACTTGGAATGCTCGACGCATTTTATTTTCCCATTCACTTTTGGGTCGATTTCCCTCCGTTTTTCCTCGGGGACTTTGAGGGAAATGCCGCCAGGATCCTCTGAGTGCCCTGCCCCATAAATCTGCCTCAAGGAAAGCGATCCAAAACCGAACGGAAGTAATTCCGTTTTTTATTTTATTTCAGTTGCATTTAATTTCAGTTTCCTTTTACTTTCGGTTATTGCTGTTGTTTTCGTTGTGGATTTTAAATTAGGGCAACAAAGAGACCGCAGACTGATATTGAAATTCGGGCTACGGATTATCGCCTGAAGGTAAGGGAAGGACGGGAAAAAGGGTTTTAGAACTGGGGTGACGAAACCGGAGCTTACCTATTGCATTTTTGATTATTGTTTACAGAGGAACACACCAATCGATAAATGCCAATGAATAATTGATGGGGAGTTGCTAAGTTCGAAACGGAAGCAAAATGATAAGAACTCATTTTACAGGGACATAAAGATTTCATACAGCTTAAAAATCAAGATCACAGAACATAGTTTTTTAAAATATTATTTACCAGTTTATTACTAAAAAAAACCCTATTTTAAGAAATTATTAACGGTGTTTAGATACCTTTATAAATACATATGGCTATTCGTAAAATAAATATGAATTAAATATACTTTGTTTTGTAGTACTCTCAACAATTAAAAGAAAACCAAAAATTTCAAATTCACTCCATTAATAACACTTTAGTGGGTTTTTTTTCCACTGTTAAAAAAAGTTAATTAATCAATTCAATGGGCGACCTTATTGAGTTTTGGCGAAAAATATAAAAATATCCATTCCATGGTTTATGGTTATGAAGCTAATGGATTTTGAAGATTGTTTATTCATGGCTCGTCAAAATCTATCCATATATCATGCCCATCGCGAACATTTAACGATGTCTTCACAATCTGCATAGACATAAAATAAACCAAAAATGTAGGAAGTCTCTAGAAATACAGTTGTATGACCTATCTTGAATTCTATTTAAAGCTTTAAAAGGTGAACCACAGACGACTTAAAAATATAAACCAAAATATATTTCTTAAATTTTAAAACATTTAATGATTTTATTTTAATATATTTTGGGTCCTTTAATTCAAAAGAATTAAATTAATGGATTGTATAAATGTGTACCAAAACATCAACATCAAAACATTGATAACAGAGTTTTTCTCTAATAACATTATCACAACATGACAATCCCCCTTTCGAAGACCGTAACATTTTCGAAATCGGCCATGTGAAGAGCGTATAAGACTTTTGGCAATAACAGCAGAGAGGAACAGTGCTGTTGTGAAAGACCGCGTGCGAGAGTGCGACAGAAATAGCGGGCACTTCGAAAATGAGCGCAAGAGCGCGCTTATGCGCGAGTGTGAGCAAGGGTGGCAGAGAGGGAGAGAGAAGGCAACCTGTAGGCAGTCGAAGAGCGAGAGGCAGCGATGCACTGTTGTTGTTTTCGTTATGATTATGAGAGTCTATCAAAAACTTGTCTGCGCTGTCGCTGCGTGCGTGTGTGTTAGCCGAAAAGGTGGTGGGGGGAGTGTGAGAGCGATTGCTGATTGTGTGTGTGTGAGAACTGTACTGGTGTGGGTGTGAATATGATGGCAGATATGAAAAGGGCAGATCCGCTTTTTCGTTGGTCGAAGCAGCAGCAAAATGAGCGAATATGAGCGTTATGAATTATGTATTTGCCCTGTACATAAACAAACCCTCTCTCGCAAGCACACACACTCATGTTTCTTGCTGGTGTTAGTGGCTTTTTCTTACTGGTGCGCAAGGTGGCTCTCCCCTCTACACCCCACACTACCCCTTCCCCATTATCATCCTCTTTTCCTTACTTTTTTCTGCTTGCCGTCTTTCTTTCGCCTTTTAATATGTATTATTTCCTACTCCTCCCGTTTTCTGCATTTTATTGGCGCTCTCTTCGGGCTTCGCTCGCTCCCAGAAATTTATGACAGCCCCACTCCTCCGCCCCATCACCACACCCCTCCGCCCCTTTTGCGGCAGCGACGTCGACGCTGGCAGCATTATTAATGCCTCCTTTTATTTCAGCTTATTGTTGTTTTTTCCCGACCAAAGGACCTTCGTGCCCTCTCTTTCTCAGTCGCCTCTATCGCATTCCTGGCGGTTCTGTAATAAAGTCAATTCTGGGAGTAGTTGCCTGAGATGTCTCAGTTTTTCCAAATCTTTGAATATTTTTTTTTGTCGAAATGTGTTTCCTTAAAATTAATATGTTTTCTTATTAAAAGTAAATCAAGCTGCTTGGTTTTAAAAGTACAAATCTAACTTGGGATACCAGGTTAAAAAATCAAAATGTCATTCTTTAAGTCCTCACATTAACTACAAAAAAAATTGAGACTAAGAAAGCCCGCTTGATTTTAAATTGGTTAACATATTTGTTAACTAATAAAGCTTTAACAAGTAAATTCCACTTAAATACAAAATATTTAGCTTAAGTTGGTCATTAAGCTGACAATATTTTCTGTTTCTAACTAAATTGTTTTTCTTAATGTTCACTGACTTAATACAACTTTATCAAATCCCATGTTGATAAAGTTTAAAGTAAAAAGTGTTTTCTTAACAGCCCAAAACTTTTTAACAATAATAGCAATTCGTTTTGTAAAATTGATTTTCAATGAACAACAGTTCATAATTGAAGTTACTCACAATCAAGAAACCTTCGAATCACTCGCCCACTCAGTCATAACTCAATTGCCAAATGTTCTTATTGAGAACTTAAAAAATGGGAACAAAAAATCTTATCGCCAGGTGTTCATGGCAGACAAAAGAACATTTGCAATTAAAATGGGAGCTGGTACGAAAGTTTTAATGCGAAGACTTAAAATGCCAAAATTCCTCATTCGGAGAGAGGGAACGAAAATAATTAGAGAAGTGGGAGTTGCCCAAAGTCAGAAAGCCGAAATGAAAGAAAACATTTTGATGAATGGCTCATAATATTCTCACACACACACACATGAGCAACTCACACACACTGACACAGATCAACCGACGAATAAGCGAAGTCACCCAAGTCAGAATTCCCCGATAAAAAAGAGGGTTTTCATACGAACAATAGCGAAGAATACAAAATCTTATAAAACCGAAATTAAAAAAGGCAACAACAACGCTCATAACTGCGAGAGTGAGACGGCGAATGTGGGATAGAGAGAGAAGGAGCGAAAGAGGGCGCAACAAATGGCAGGCTCTCTTGTGTGAGTGCAAGTGAGATGGCAGGCTGCCCAAGGGCCCCAAAGGCAAGGGGGCGGTGGTTCCCCATCCCCTCACCAATAAATTATGATAAATTATTAATCGAGAGAGCGAGCGAGACGGGGAGATGGGCACTACAACAACAATGGCGCAAAGGTGAGCCGCAAAAGGCGGAAGGAAGTCGCCGCTTCTTCTTCTTTTTTTCTCTGCCCGGAGAGAGAGAGAGAGCAGCTCATAATTCGCCGAACAAGTTTCATAAACGTCTCTCGATTTCCAGGTAAAAACGGCGACTGCGGCTGAGCATCCTCGGGGCAGCAAAAAAAACACAGGAGAGTGAGCGGGCCGGCAAGAGTAACAGTAACAGCAATTTAATAAAAATTATGATGAGAGCGAGCGAGAGGCGCATATGAAAAATAATATGAAATGCGAGCGGGAGAGCGTGCGTGTGTGTGTGAGTGAGCATAAGGTGGGTTGGTTGATGTCAAGATGTAATAACACACACGCACACACACTCGCGCAAACAAACCGGTTGTTCACGAAGCCAGCCGAACGAAAGCCGACCGAAGCCGACGAACTCGAGCGGCTGTTATTCGTGGCGGCTGTTATTGTTTGTGTCACTCTTGTTTGGACGCGCGTTGCTGAACGTTCGCAGCGAGCACTCGATTTCTCTCAGTGCCGCCATCGGCCCACGTTGCGTATGCGTAACGCGCTCACACACTCAATTCTTTTTGCGAGTTTTCCTTCGAGCCAAGTTTTCCCTTAAGTGCCGCGAAAATCCCACAAACGATGACAATCATCGGGCAGCTGTAGTTTGGCCACCAGCTGAATGCGATAAATAAATTAAATACGCGCAAAGGCCAGCGGTAATACGCGTTTCCCACTGCCGACGGCAAAACACAAAAGTGCTACGAGTAACTACAAATATAGTTATTTTACCCCTTAACAAAAATTAAAAAAAACAAAAATATAAACACAGTGCAATGATCAAGCAGAGTTAAATAATATCCACAAAACAAACACACACACACAAAAGTGCTAGAAAAAGTTCTCTTGATGAAAAATCACCTGTCCAACGTTCTGTGTGCGATGCGTAGTGACTTCAAGGATAATCACCAGGAGACCATCAATAAAATGATACAATTTGGTACAGTGAAATATGGCATTGTCAAACAGCTGAAGGATCGCGCTCGCAGCGCCGACAAAGGTGAGCTGAAATTCTACTTAAGGGGAAAATGATCAATAAGTAAAAACAAACACACGCATTTCCATCACTTTTGCTTTGAATGAAATGTTTAAAATCGTTTTTGACATAATTGAAATTTCTAATAGACAAACATTCAGATGTTTTGGACATGAGTCAAAAAGAAAATTCTGCGGCTGCCTTTTAAATTTTGTTATCCTATTTGTCATTTGTAAAAGTTTTTTCTTCAAAGCACGAACCAAAAATTAGAAAGTATTTACCTATCAGCGGAACATAAAACAAATTTGAGGGCATTTTCCGAACGAGAAAGATTTTGATGCATAACTGAACCATTTAAAATTAGTTAACAAAATTTGTCAATATTGCTTTCTTGTCTACTTCTTGAACTTTGGTATAAACGAGTTTTGAATAACAACCGTTTTCCATTTGAGTGATAAGACCACAAAAGGAAACAAAATTTTAGACAAGACATTAATAATTGTGGCATGAAAGGCAGAAATCGTAGGCAGGCATTTAAATAAGCCTCAAATCTGAGCAAAGCTTATCAGGTCTTTAAAAATGGTATATACAAATTTAGAAACACTGTCTGCAGCGTCGACTGCACCAGTTTTCCCCCGATTATATGAACAAATTTATACATATAAACTATATTTCTTCGGTTTAGCATTTCCAGTTTCTGATTTGATTTAATTTGAACGTTAACAGCTGCTATTGGTTAACCCCTTCGTGCCCCCTTGTGATCTTGTTTTTTATGATAAATCAAAAATCGATTTCGATTTAATGGAGCAACTTAAAAACGATATGATTTAAATATGGCTTCGACGCATTTTATATTGAAGAAATAACTTTTGGGAAAGGCACAAAAATAAGTTTGCCGAGGTTTTATGTTTGTTTTTTGGAGGCCTCTCGGCAGGCGTGTTTCTTTAATTGGTTTTGAAAGCTTCGAATTTCGGAAATTTGCATGCCAGTGAACTTAATTATATTTATTGAAATTTTAAAGGCTGTTGAATCAAGTAAGTTTTACGACTAAGGGAAGTGAGGCAATGCTGGATGTAAACCTTTCAAAAATCAAATTCCTCAAATTTTTTTTCTATTATCAGAATCTTGTTTTGTTGCGCTAAAATTGAATTTCAAAAAGTTTTCCTCTAATTAAAAATTATTTGGTGAAATAGGGTACATTTTTCATACAATTTAATTTTCCAAACTCATTTCGTGTTTGTTTTTATTCTCACATTTACGCTTATATTCATAATTGCAAATGAGTTCACATTAAATTTTGAATATTGCTGCCCATAAGCTTTAAAAAGGTGATAAAAAGTTTGCGCGTGTGTGTGTAGATGAGGATATTTTTTCTTTTTATCAATTTGTTTGGCGCGGTTTTATTTATACACCGCATATGATGGCATATAGGTACATAAGTTGTGTATTCGCATGTGTGTGTGTGTGTTGCTGCCGCTTCAGGCATTAATAAATGTTAACTCATTAGTGCGGGATAATAAATTAAATTAATATCGCAAAAAATGAAAATCGAAGCAGATTCGCAGCGAGTTGGCTCTTATTTCCATATGATTTATATGGACTATATACCTTTACGGGCAATTTGGTCGGTACAAAGCCAATTCTGTGAATATGGAAGTGCTCATCAATTTGTGTCGCTTTTTGCTTTGTAATCGAAGTCTCGCTCGCATAACTTAATGACATTAATTATTTAATTATTTTTATTTATGCGGTTTTGATTTTTCCCTTGGTTGTTTTTTTTTGCTACAAAGTCCCTATTAAAAATGTATGCCAAAAACTTTGATGGAATTCAATTGCTGCGCTTCCCCATTGTGACCTATGGCAGCCAAATCCGATCAGACCGGACTTGGCTATATATTATTCAATTATGCCACACACTCCACTCCCCTCCGTTGTTTTCAGCTCGCTTACTTTGTGTATACTTTATGTAGTTATTCGCATTTCTTTTTTGATTTTGCATTTTCCAATTGGCTGAACATTTGTTTCACCTCAGGCCAGCGAGCTCACGGTTGGTTCGCACCGATTTGCATATTGAATATGACGATGGAATAATTGAAAGTCAGCCCAGAACTAAAGTCGAGGCGTATGCAAAAGTCACTCATAGAGGAATGAACTGAAAAGTGTCGAGGTAGAGGTACGAATCCAAGGAAATTTCGAGTTCAGCACACAGAAAGAAAAGTTTTATTCAGTAATTAAAAAAAAAACACTTGGTAAATAAATATACAAAACATAAGTAAAATCTAAGGTTTTTTAAAACAGATTTTGAACCATTCATTAAATTATTTCTTCATTTTATGTATTTCTTAAATTCTTTTTTTCCACACTAAAAACAATTGTTTAAATTGCATTAAAAATCCCATTTAATATTTATCTTTACTTTTTGTTAGTAAATATTTGGTTTCCTTGGGAAGAAATTATAAAGAACGTTTGGCCATAAATAAATAAGACAAATAAATTTAAATGGTTTGTGTTTTGTTAACTTATACTTGCATATTCCTAGAAATAAATTTGTTTTAATTAATTTACCATACCAGTTCTCACTACCTCAAGTTCGGGTAAAAAATTGATTTGCTGAAAGCCAAAATAAACCAAGACAAAATTTATTTGCAGCGAAAGTCTGTTGAAAATATTTGGACACATAAACTGCCAAAAAGTTGACATTAGTTAATGAGTTGATGGACAGGCGGGGTTAGCAATTATGAGTATTTAAGGGCGGGGAGGAGGGGGCGGGGCGTGATACTCCCCAATCGTTCCAACACGCGGGATTTATTCGTTTTAGTTGCGCATGAAGAGTGGGAATAATTCACTCGAATTTAGCCAGCAGACTCGGCCGAATTTATGGCTTGACTTAATCCACCTTTAAACTGGCGCGATTTAATTTATATAGGAGCGGTTTGTGTGTTTCAACAATGGGAAATATAATTTCGTCTCGTTTCACAATTTCATATTTATTTATCTGGCAGATACGAACGCACGGAGCACGGGCGGAATGAACCTCGCCGGTTGTCAGTAGGACAAAATACGACTCGGGTAGACAAAAAATAAATCTTTAAACGGCTCACCAACTCGCACACACACTCGGTGGCACATGAGAGGAGGAATCGGTGTATATATAGACTTAGTTAAATGTTTGGATATTTTGTTTTGGGCGCCCACGCGTTTGAGGAACTAAAATACGGCAAAACTAAAATCCAAAATCGAAATGGGAATCGAAATCGAATCGGGGGCTAAGGCATTGGCCTCACACAGGGCAATATCTCCCTGTCTTTGGGAACACCAGGGATCACCAACACCAACACAATAAACAAGCTGCGTTTATTGTTATTGTAAATTTAACAATTTTATTACCAATTGCAAAATGACTTAACCATGTTCGAGACAATTTTATGTTCGTCATAATTGGAAGTTGTTTTGCTTTCTGTGTTTTCTGAGCTGCCGCCGCTGCCTGAATGCCTAACTGAAAGGTTTATGGCAGCATTATAATTAATTTCAATTAATTAAAATACACTTCTGTTATCAGCAATCATAATCATAACTTCTCGACTGAGCGGTTTCGTTTTTGAACTGCAATTGCAGCCCCAAACGAACAACATAAACAACTCGACAAAAAGCGTTTTTAATTGAATCTCGGGCGGCGGAAAAAATATCTTTAAAATGAATTCGCCTCCGAGAAGTAATAATACAAATAATATTAATGCGATCGATATGCAAATGGCGCTGATAGTCGCCAGGCGCTCTATCTGCGTATCTTTTTGTACTCGGCAGCTGTATCTGTATCTGTGTATCTGTGTATCTTTTGTGGACGAAAACAGAAAACAGAAAACTCGCCCAACTCGTTTGATTTGTGCAGAAATATGTTTTATTATATATATCGGACGAGTGTGGCCCCAGTTCGTTGGCTCAGACTTATCATAAATTATATTTTATGTGCGTGTGCGGCTAAAGTTGCCGGTGTTGTTGTTGCTGTTGCTGTTGCTATTAATGTTGCTGTTGCTGTTGCTGTTGCCGGTGGTGGACCAATCTTTGACTTGGTTTGCTTTTTAGGCTCGCCGCGATTAATTAGTCAGAGGCACTGGACCAGGCCAAACGGCTGTCAACTGCTTTCTCCCCTTGGACAGCTCACCTGGCAACAAGTGAGCATCAGTCGGCCAGCAGCAGCAGCAACAGCAACAGCAGCAACAGCAGCAACAATTGCAACTGCCTGCGATCGACTTGCAGACTAATTGTGGGCTGAAAAAAAACAGCTGCGGCTGAGGGAAAAGGAGAGAGAACACATGCTTCAACAAGAAATGTAATTGCATTCAGTTGGCAGCAGCAGCAACTAGCAGCAACTAGCAGCAACATCCCCACTCCGCCAGCAACTTCAACGCATTGCAATGAACAATTGCCGGCGATTAAGTCATATGCAGCAGAAGGGGGAGGAGGAGGGGAAGGGGGATGGAAAGGGAGGGGGAGAGGGGGTGGCAGGGGGCCAGTTAACAGGTAGTTGAGTTATCGCGAAATGGGCAACAATCCCAACCAGCTTCTCACTATTTTGGCCTTACTCCATCTCGGGGCTTCTTTCACATTACGCAGAAAAACATATGAAAATAAGTTACATATTGTTAACTTGGCAGGAAAGTAATCTATTAAGTACCTGGTTCGAAATTAAAAATCACACAATTATTGAAAATAATAAAATAATTGCTTTTCTCAATTTCGATTGTTCAAAGCCAATTAAGATATGTATTTACTTACTTTTGCGCTGCGAATAATCGAATGATGAAATCTTCTTAACAAACTGCCTGTTTTAAGTAGAAATTGGTTTAGATTGCCAATGAGACAATCCAAGTAATATTTTAATAAAGTATATGAAAATGAATTTGTTAATCCCAGCAATCGAATTGTTCTCCGTTTTGAATAAGCTGTCATTTGCTCGAGCTCAAAATTCACTAAATTCGAGAAACCCAATTAAATGTTGAAAATGCTTGCTGTTCTTGCAGACACCGGAAGCGATCAGGAGGAGAATGGTGGCTGCTCGCCACTGACCACGGCGACCACGACGGCGAGTCCCAGTCGGAGTCCCGATCCCGAGGAGGATCAGGAGCACCACGAGGAGGAGGAGGAGCAGCTGCAGAGCGAGGATAAATCAGAGGTCAAGCCAGAGATCGAACCCGTGGAGGATAACAACAACCGGGTGGCGATGACCAAGCCGAGCTCCGAGGAGCGGGAGCCGAACGCCAGTGGCTCCATGCCGAGTTCCCCGGTGGCGGAGGCGAGTGCCGAGGAGGCGGCCACCGAAAGGACCTCCGAGAAGGAGAAGGACATCGAGGTGGACGTGGAGATGCCCGATGAGCAGCCGAGCAGCGTGCTGCCCTCCTCCACGGAGGCGACTCCCGCGGGAGGAGCAGCTGGAGCTCCAGTCACCCTGGAAGCCATCCAGAACATGCAAATGGCCATTGCCCAGTTTGCGGCCAAAACAATTGCAAATGGCTCGAGTGGAGCGGACAACGAGGCTGCCATGAAGCAGCTGGCCTTCCTGCAGCAGACGCTCTTCAACCTGCAGCAGCAGCAACTGTTCCAGATCCAGCTCATCCAGCAGCTGCAGTCGCAGCTGGCTCTGAACCAGGCCAAGCAGGACGAGGAGCTGGAGGAGCAGGACGCGGAGCAGGAGCAGGACCAGGAGCAGGAGACGGACACGTACGAGGAGGAGGAGCGCATCGCGGACATGGAGCTGCGCCAGAAGGCGGAGGCCAGGATGGCGGAGGCCAAGGCGCGCCAGCACCTGATAAACGCGGGAGTTCCCCTGCGCGAATCCTCGGGATCCCCGGCGGAATCCCTCAAGCGGAGGAGGGAGCAGGACCAGGAGTCGCAACCCAGTCGGAGATTGAGCTCAGAAACCTCTAGGAAAGAGGAGGGAGCACAGGATGCGCTGGCGAAGCTCAAGGAGATGGAGAACACGCCGCTTCCCTTTGGTTCCGATCTGGCCAGCAGCATAATCACCCACCACGATGACCTGCCGGAGCCGAACTCCCTGGATCTCCTGCAGAAGCGCGCCCAGGAGGTGCTCGACTCCGCCTCCCAGGGAATCCTGGCCAACAGCATGGCGGATGACTTCGCCTTCGGGGAGAAGTCCGGCGAGGGAAAGGGACGCAACGAGCCGTTCTTCAAGCACCGCTGCCGGTACTGCGGGAAGGTATTCGGCTCGGACTCTGCCCTCCAGATCCACATCAGATCGCACACCGGGGAGCGACCCTTCAAGTGCAACGTGTGCGGCAGTCGGTTCACCACGAAGGGCAACCTGAAGGTGCACTTCCAGCGCCACGCCCAGAAGTTCCCGCACGTGCCCATGAACGCCACGCCCATTCCCGAGCACATGGACAAGTTCCACCCGCCACTGCTCGACCAGATGTCGCCCACGGACAGCTCGCCCACCCACTCTCCCGCCCCGCCCCCCATGGGCAGCGCCCCCGCCTCCTTTCCACCCGCCTTCCCCGGACTGCAGAACCTCTACCGCCCGCCCATGGAGATCCTGAAGAGCCTGGGAGCCGCCGCCCCGCACCAGTTCTTCCCGCAGGACCTGCCCACCGATCTGAGGAAGCCCTCGCCGAATCTCGAGGAGGAGGAGGAGGGGGAGGGGGATGTGGCAGTGCCCGTGAAGAACGAACCCATGGAGGAGGGGGAGAAGGAGCATCAGGAGGAGAGGGAGAGGGAAAGGGAGAGGGAGAGGGAGAGGGAGCAGGAGAACGCAGAGTGCTCGGAACCCGAACCCGAACCACTTCCCCTGGAGGTTCGCATCAAGGAGGAGCGCGTGGAGGAGGAGCAGGAGCAGCAGCTCAAGGAGGAGGAGCACCGCACGACGGAGCACCGGAGGACACCCTCTCCATCGGCAGATCATCAGCGATCCCCGCACCACCACCACCACCAGCACCACCGCCACAGTCACATGGGATACCCGCCGGTGGTGCAGCCCATCCAGCCAGCCGCCCTGATGCACCCGCAACCCTCGCCGGGATCCCAGTCCCACCTGGACCACCTTCCCACCCCGGGACAACTGCCTCCCCGCGAGGACTTCTTCGCCGAGCGCTTCCCCCTGAACTTCACCACCGCGAAGACCCTCTCCCCCGAGCACCACTCGCCGGGCACCTCGCCCTCAGTGGGCTCCCTGCCGCCGGGCGTGGCACCGCCGCACCACCCACATCCGCACCACATGGCCAGGTCGCCGTTCTTCAACCCGATCAAGCACGAGATGGCCGCCCTGCTGCCACGCCCCCACAGCAACGACAACTCGTGGGAGAACTTCATCGAGGTGTCGAACACCTGCGAGACCATGAAGCTCAAGGAGCTGATGAAGAACAAGAAGATCAGCGACCCCAACCAGTGCGTCGTCTGCGATCGCGTGTTGTCCTGCAAGAGTGCCCTCCAGATGCACTACCGCACCCACACCGGCGAGCGTCCCTTCAAGTGCCGCATCTGCGGCAGGGCCTTCACCACGAAGGGCAACCTCAAGACGCACATGGCGGTGCACAAGATCCGTCCGCCGATGAGGAACTTCCACCAGTGCCCCGTCTGCCACAAGAAGTACTCGAATGCCCTGGTGTTGCAGCAGCACATTAGGCTGCACACTGGGGAACCTACTGATTTGACTCCCGAGCAGATCCAGGCAGCTGAGATCAGGGATCCACCGCCCTCGATGATGCCGGGCCACTTCATGAACCCCTTCGCGGCGGCCGCCTTCCACTTCGGCGCTCTGCCCGGAGGACCAGGAGGTCCTGGCGGAGCGGGCCATGGAGCCCACAATGGAGCCCTGGGTTCGGAGTCCTCGCAGGGCGACCTCGACGACAACATGGACTGCGGGGAGGACTACGACGACGACGTCTCCTCGGAGCACCTCTCGAACAGCAATCTCGAGCAGGAGGGCGACAGGCCGCGATCAGGAGATGACTTCAAGTCGCTGCTCTTCGAGCAGAAGCTGAGGATCGATGCCACGGGAGTGGTGAACACGAATCCGGTGAGGCCGAGGTCCTCCGCCTCGAGTCACGGCCACTCGGTGGGCTCCACCTCGGCACCCACCTCGCCATCGGTGCACCCTTCGTCGAGTCAGGCGCCCAAGGCCAGTTCCTCGCCAGCTCGCTCGGAGGCCTCCCAGGGAGCCCTGGACCTCACACCCCGCGCTGCTCCCACCTCCAGTTCCAGCTCGCGATCGCCGCTGCCGAAGGAGAAGCCCGTGAGTCCGCCGAACCTGCCCCGCAGCCCCGGCCACGCCCACTCGCTGCTCACCTCCCCCCTGCCGCCCAGCGTGGGCATCGACTGTCTGCCGCCGGGCCTGCAGCACCACCTGCAGCAGCAGCACCAGCACCTCATGCAGCAGCAGGCGGCGGTGGCGGCGGCGGCAGCGGCGCAGCACCACCACCACCAGCAGATGGCGGCGCTCCACCAGCACCAGGAGCAGCTGCGTCGCGAGGCGGCGGAGGCGCAGCAGAAGGCGGCAGCAGCGGCCGCAGCAGCAGCAGCCGCCGCAGCAGCAGCGGCGCAGCGGCAGACGCCGCCGCAGCCGAATCAGCGGCAGGAGAGCGGCGGACCGCCCCCGCCGAATCCGCTGATGGGCGCCCGTCCTCCGTTCGGGATGTTCCCCAACCTGCCGCTCTTCCCGCCCGCCACCACCCAGAACATGTGCAACGCCATGAACCAGATCGCCCAGTCCGTCATGCCGGCGGCCCCCTTCAACCCACTCGCCTTGAGCGGGGTGCGGGGCAGCACCACCTGCGGCATCTGCTACAAGACATTCCCCTGCCACTCCGCGCTGGAGATCCACTACCGGAGCCACACGAAGGAGCGGCCCTTCAAGTGCAACATCTGCGACCGCGGCTTCACTACAAAGGTGGGTACTGCACTATATAATTCATTTTAGGTTTTTAATTCAAAGGGGGTTAGAAAGTGGGGTTTCCTCGTGATAGAAATTGAAAGCAAGAAAACTGATCAAGGATTTCCCTTTCTTTTTGTTCACTTTTCCAGGGCAACCTGAAGCAACACATGCTCACTCACAAGATCCGCGACATGGAGCAGGAGACCTTCAGAAATCGTGCCGTAAAGTATGTAAGTCTTCCATACTTCCCCCTCCCAAACTAACCTATCCCAAACTAACCAACCCCAACCAACTGCTAATCCAGATTCCTTAGATATTTTCTACTTGTAATAATTAGTTAACAAGATGCACTCTCAATTATTTTCATTGGTTGTGTATATATATTTCTGCTTTCCTTTAATCAGTTGAGCATATGCGTTTTGCTAATATTACATTAGTTTTCTTTGCATAATAAATTCTTTTTGAAACCCCTTTTAAATCCGCAATAAAAATCCTTGCTCTTCCCAAAACCATTCCCAATAAAATCCCCCAAAATCAATAATTTCCCCATTTTCTGACCAAACTTTTCCCCTTCTTCTATCTTTTTGCAGATGAGTGAGTGGAACGACGATCGCGAATAAGTAAGCACTCAAGTTCTACGACGGTTTCGATCGGATCGCTGCCCGGCGGTCTAGATCACTTGGCCCCAAAAAAAAGAAAGAAAAAGGAGGCTGGCGATCGCAGCCCAGACCCTCAGTCAAGATGCAATCGATTCTCGCAACCAAATGATCTCAAGATTTAGAGCGAAACGAGAGGTGAAGATCGGTCGTGTACACAAATCTTTATATTTATAAATTGTTGCCCACAAAATATTATTTGATTGTTGTTCCCCCGAATGAAAAGCGAAAAGTTTCCAACTGTAGACGCAGTTGATCGCATGATCGATTGCTCGATTATGCTGAAGCTCCCCGAGCACTTTCATAAACAATTTTTAATGGTCTGGCGAATGGAGAATGGGGAATTTCGCCGCACACACGATCACCAAAAGAACACTAAGAGGGATCATGAAACGTATCCAAAGAGCATCAAAAGCGATATGGAGATGGAACCAATATCTGAATATCCGCTTGGTATTGAGAGACTGATAGCGTTTCATGTTCCACAAAACTAAAAACGGAACCAGAATCACGGCAATCGGAATCTGTATCTGTGCATTCACATTCTGAATCCGTGAATCTGAATCCGCGGCAGCTGAAAAAATGCAGACAGTCAGCGAAGGCGTAGTAAAATCAAAATTCGAATTTAAAGCAAATCTTAAGGTATATGCTAACATATATATAATAAGACATGTGTAAATACGTATATATAATATATATGATATATGATAGCCAAACCCCCACAGACACAGACACAGACACACGCATTAGCATACACACACATACATGTTAATAATCTATTTGGAATGTGCAATAATATGACATGCTATAAATTTAGATGCGAACGCCGAGCGCAGGCTTTTGTTTCCTACTACTCGTAAATTAGATTTATTTTTCACTTCTTGTACATACTTCGTATGAATACACACACCCAAACACCCAAAACACACATTATTATTAAACACACATTTCGAAATCTAATCGCTTGCTTTCGAGAATGGGTTAACATAGGTTAATAAAAATGAAAGAAAACAAAAAACACTAAAAATATATATGAGAAATTGTGATATTAAATGTAAAAAGAAATACAAATTACGATTGCGGCGGACGGGGGAAACCCATCGGAGGCCCCCGCAAAATGCTTTCCATATCACAGATGAGAGAACCACAAAAGATATCTAACATTCATAGTTAATTTAGTCGTTAGCCGAGGGGACAATCCCCAAACCCACAAACAGAAACAGAAACAAAAAACAGAAACACACACCCCACTCTAATTTCTAATTTCTCTTCACTGGAAGGAAGGATTAACCCTAGCGATAAGTAAGTCTTCGAGCGATCGAACACGTATTGATTACCACAATTAAATTATACACGGATGCGAATGCGTCCCACTCTGTTCGTAGGCATTAAGCATAGTCCCATAATTTATTACGCAGCCCGAGAGCGAAAACAAACTAAAATGCAAATAAAAGTGAATCTATTGAGAAGAACGAATAAATATATGTATTTAAGTTATGAAAAATTAATAAACCATCTCTGAGTTTTCATTCGAATCGGATGGGGTCTTATCTCGATCCGGGGTTCTGGGAAAACCGAAAACTCTTTCCGAGATTTTCGTGGCAACAGATGCGGCTGGCTGGCTGTAATAAAAATGATTAGTCAAGTTTATTATCGTCATAATCTTTTAATTCGAATTCGAAGCGGACTATCGACGGAGCCAGCGGATCTCAGCCAAGCCTGATCTGATCCATAGCAATGAAATATTTTTATTGCCTTTTAAATTGATATTTTACCTTCAACAAATTTTTGCTGCCCGGTTTCGACTGTTTTTTGTTTTTATTGTTAGCTTTTTCTGGTTAACTTATTTCGGCGGTCTCGTATCCACTTTTCGATCCACTCAACGCGACTCGCCGATCGCAGCACCCGATCGCTTGGCTCTCTGGCATTTTAGTCGTTAATCAAAAAATTTCCTGTTGACATCGCTTTGTCATCTTTTTAATGACGGACACCCGCTGAGTTCTGAGTGTCTCTTCGGTTATTGTTATTGTTATTGTCACTGCCGCTTGGCCAGCTTGTTTTTGGCCCATTTGCTTTTTGTGCGAGGCGCTGTGATGGATGTTTGGACTGGTTTCGATTTGGAAATGTCATTTACATCTTTACATTCGCCAGGTGGCCGTAAAACAATGGAATGCTAGTGGATTAGCCAAAACTGAACGAGCTTAAGTGATGGGAGAAGGCAGGCTTTTAAAGAACTTTGTTGATTTGATAACAATCTAAAAAACAGGTTTAGTTAGATTTACATACATAAAAATTATTAATAGTAAAACATATTCAAAGTATGCAAAATTTAAAATTAATGGTATAATTTTCTTGAATAATTCTTATCCATAAGCATCTGTTTTTAAAACCATTTAAATGAATGATGCAACTTATAAATGTTTTGAAATTAATCGTTTTGAGAGGACATCTCATTCTGGGAATTAATTACTGAAAAACTATTTTTAATAAACTAGGTAAACCTTCCCAAACAATTACTTGATCTTGAGTTAAATTATTTATATAGAATATAGAATTTGCATTTACTGCCGTACAGTTCCCCTGGCAATTTCTTCACCCAGATATATACTGCACCATCTGCTCTACTTATCTGGCGGATACATGACAGAGTTATGCCGTCAGTGAGTAATTAACACGGTTAATATGCCAACTTGCTGATTGTCAACTGACAAACTGTCATCTGCGGAATAGGGGAATAACTCCGGATCGGATCGCCTCTGTCAGCGGAAGATCCGCTGTGCCGAAGATCCGCTGTAGGTAGGTAGTCCTGTATCTGTCAGCGGCATTTCCCGGCACCTTGAAGATACATTATTATGAAGGCACCTCGGGCACCGCAACCCTTGCAGTTCGAGGGTTGCAGTTGAGTTATGGTTCCATGTGGATGTTAATTCGAGGCGTGTAATTGCCGCTCCCATTCCATCAGTTTATTTACAAGTTTTCAACAGTTTTGTCACACATCCCGGCCACTGTTTTCACTCCTTTTTATAAGCCTTTTCACCAGCCTTCTGCCCCGCTCTTTAGTTTAGTTTAATTTGGGGCAATTTAATGGATTTACGGCACGAGAGGGCAAACGTCTCCATTGCCGCAGCCCGTTAAATGGCATCAAATTTAACTGGCGAATAAAGTGGCCGATCCACGCACTAACTGCAGCAACAACAACAATCGCCTGATAACTATTAAGATAACTACTGCAGCCATATTCGGATCGGGATTCGAATGGGATGGTGTGGGATGGGATTCGGTTTGGGACTGGGTCTCTGTTTGGGCTTGGGTGCGAGGAAAATCCTTGAAAGCGCTGGCAATAAATGCAAAAATCCTTACAAATAATATGAGAATGGTTATGGGCAGTGTGCGGGCTTATCGCAGGCATAAAACCAAACACACAGCGCAAACACCGAAAACAATCTAAACAAGAAAAATTGCACAAATTGCCGGGCTTCAGTTTGGTTCTCAGCTCTCGGCTTCATCGTCTCAGCCGCTGATATCGCAGCTTTCAACGTCATCATCGCCATCGCAACAGTGGGCCGGATTCGCGTTTCGGTGCTCATAAATTAGCCCCAGTTTAAACCCATATCAGCGGGTGCTCTGGAGATTTTAACTAATTGGAGGGCATTTCCTGATTTGCATTACCGTCGATATTTGACAAACGATTACATGATCGCATTTGAGTGTTTCCGTTTACTTTGTAATTGCCGATCGGAATCTAAAACGAGTGGTAATTTATTATTGATTAAAAGCGGACAAGCTACTTCCAGAAATAATTAAATAATTTCACTTTTACTTATTTAAGTCACATCAAGAGAAAGTTGATTTTGCGAAACATATTTAAACGTATGTATTTCGATACAAATTAAGATTTCTGTATCATACATTTATCAGATTAAAAGTCCTTATTTATTATTAAAAGTCTTGTCTGACAAGTTCACCACCAGTTAAAATACTATTTGAAGAACTTCTATAAGAATTAATGTTCTTAAATAAATGTGGTAGGTATTAATATATCTTTTTGTTATAACAATATACAGTAGAATCCGCTTATAGCGACTTTCAAGGGACCGACGAGTTTTCGTCTTTATACCCAAAAGACGCACTAAGCAGAAGGATTTAAGTGTATAAGTCTGTCTGGGGACCAATCAAGCCATCGAGTTTTCGTCGCAATACCCGGACGGACACTATAAGCGGAGTCGTTATAACAGGATTCTACTGTATTTAAAAAAAAAAAATGATTTTAATAGGGGCACAAATTCTACCTGTTGCGATCTTACTTAGTTATATACATACTTTAATAATTTATAATCATATTTAGGGTAAGATGGGGTAAAACCGCCAAAAATGTATATTTGACGATGTCAAGCTTTCATTTATAAAATGATCAATGATCCAAATCATATTTCTGAAAGTTTAATCCCTTGGCTACATAATTCATTTAGAAAGTTTTTATGTAGCTTTTATTTTAAAAGAATTGTGATCGTTCAGAAGAAAAGTTTAAAACGGCGGTTTTACCCCACCTAGTGGGGTAAAAACGCCATTCTGGTTTTAGTGTAGTTAAGTACCCAAATAATGTCAATAACTTCTGAGAAAAATTTTTATTCAATTCAAATGGATATTACATGTTACAACGAATATATTATATAAAAGTAAAAATAAGAAATTGAAGCGAAGTCATAAGCAAGTCGTCGAACTGCTGTCCGAGAGAAACCATGAAATATAGCTGATGCTTTTATGAGATATTTCTCAAGCGATGCCTCTTGGTCGTCAGTAAAAATCTGTAAAATAAGAATTACGTGGTTAAAATAGTTTTAAACTAAGAAGAAATGTCGCATTAACAAAGGTTTGAAACTGAAAATTAAAATATTCTTATTTAAAAGATAAAATCATTTTATACAAAACTGTTTGCAATTATCTGTTCAAAAAGAAAGGCTGTTATTTTTAAATTGAATTGAATTCAAAATCATGACATTACATATTGTTTAAATTGACAAAAATTGTGAATATTTGACACTTTACCTGGGGATGATGGCCATAATAAGCGTTGTGCGCTTTGTTGACTCGGTCTCGCAAAGTCTCTCGGGGAATCCCATATTTTTCGGCAACAACTGCCACCTTGCTGCCCTCCTGAACTTCCTCGATTGCCCGTTGAAATATATTTTCATCAATTTTTTATTTTTTTCTTGCGTAATTGCGAGGCATGATGCTGAAAGACATTCATTCTCGATTAAAACGAGTTTTTCCGTTATCAAATTGTGTGGCGTTTTTACCCCACCTTTTTGCGGCGTTTTTACCCCACGCGCCAATTTTTTTCGAGGTCACTTAGTTTGTACAATTTTGGAAATATTGACTAACTTGATACATGTACATCAGTATCAAGGTTCGTACTATAAGCGGACACTTACCTTTTTTTTTAAGCCGTTCACTTACACTTGATTGAGCAATCTTTATAACAAAAATTTTTTGGCGCCGTCGAGTGAAACAAAAATGGCGCTATAGAAATTGTCACGATAAAGCTGCAGTATTCCGACCGACTTCAAAAACCGCGCATTATCAATCAGAATCTACATTATCAACGGTTAATCGTTTCGGCGCTTCATTTGAATTTGAAATCCAAATGGCGGTTTTACCCACCGGCGGTTTTACCCCATCTTACCCTACATATATTTCATATATTTATCTTTAAAGAAAAAGTATTATCCCAATGTTTTTTGAGCACGTATTAGCAAACAAACTGGATTTTTATTATGACTCATAAAAGAAATAATACATTTCTGGTGTACTGTTCCGAGTGTATCGAATTGTCCCACTGTGCACCTAAACAACATGCCCAACGACACCAGCAACACGGACAGGGGCAACAAAAGGCAATAACAGCAACAACAAACACTGGCACACACACACACTCACACAAACAAACAATTGTGGAAGAGGAAATAAGAGGGGGAGGGGGCGAAACACTTTAATAGGAAAATCTAACGATTTGTTTGCATTTTTATTATTTCCTGCTGTTGCTGCTGAAATTGTCACAAAATAAAATAAAACTAACAATCATTCGGGCAAATATCAACAGGAATATGCCACCGCCCCACCGAAAAGCCCCTTCCATAAGTCTTGCATAGTAAATCCTTCCCCGGTGGAAACACCCGCCTTAATGGTGTTTGAGTAGCCGTATCTATGTATCGCCAAGTGTCAGTTTGGCACATCATTTGGCCCCAACACACAATGGCGGCCTCCGTTTGCGTTTGAGTTTGAGCCGCCGCTCGAAAGAGTTGGTCCCTGCATTTTGACGTCGGCAGATTTGGAGGGAACTCTGCCAGAGATCGGCGGACCGAAGACGCTTCTGGAGAACCCAAACTAGAGATTGCACAGAGAAAAACTGAAAATTTGTAACATGATATTACAGGATATTTTCGCATTACTTCAAATTATCATAGATCATCCTTTTTTTATTTTCATTTTCATTTCATTAGAAGTCAATTATT